AGCCAGATACATTTCAGACTGAGGATAACAGTATAAGGTTGGATCTATGATTTGTAATGTTTTTTGTGTGTATATTTTGGTGTTTTTGACTGATTTCTTATGTGATGCACACCAACTGTTTGTAGTTATGTTTATCTATAATTCTTGATTGTTTGTTGTCTTTCCCTGTTTAAACCCTATCTGTTTGTGTTAAACTTTGCATCTCTTGGCCAGTTAATGTTGTTTTCATAGCCCCCACTAATTTATTTATTGGTTTTGTTGGCTCTGTGTAGAGTGTGTCAAACTCATTTTTAGGCTCTATTGAGTAGTCACTGTCTGTATATTGGATTGTAACATTTCTATTGCAGCTCATTGAGAACTTGCTATTTTGTTGAATTTCATTCCTACTAGCTTTCTCAGTTGTTGATTTGTTTGATTTCATTCCTACTAGCACTTGTTGATTTGTTACTCGGTGTTTTACTCCCACAAATCCCTTTTTCTCTTCCTTTTATTCTTTTTTCTCGATAAATAAGCTCGAAATTTTCATGTATCTGCGCAGATATGTTGCCAGTGAGCTTGCAACAGATATCGTCATTCAGATTGGGGACGTCAAGTTTTACCTGCACAAGGTATGTTCTTATACGTTCTTAACAAGTAACAACTCAACGAGAACAAATCCGAATTCCAAATCGTAAAACCTCAAATAAATGAAAAACTACAGCCGAATCGCATTATAAAAATTAAAAAAAAAAAACCTTTGCAGTTTCCACTCCTCTCGAGAAGTGCCCGCTTGCAGAAGCTCGTTTCGCCATCAAGTGATGACGAAATCGCGCTCCACGACATCCCGGGCGGGCCCACTGCCTTCGAGACGTGCGTCAAGTTTTGCTACGGCATGACTGTCACCCTCAATGCCTACAATGTGGTCCCCACCCGATGTGCTGCGGAGTACTTAGAAATGCACGAAACAGTCGATAAGGGCAATCTCATTTACAAAGTCGATGTCTTTTTGAGCTCGAGCATCTTTCGGAGTTGGAAGGACTCGATAATCGTACTCCAATCGGCAAAATCGCTTGTCCCATTTTCCGAGGAGCTCAAAATCATCAGTCACTGTGTAGATGCCATTGCCATCAAGGCCTCGACCGACGTTTCGAAAGTCGACTGGTCCTACACTTACAACCGGAAAAAAACAGCCGAGGAGAATGCAAACGGGCTGAGGATGATTCGGGCCGTGCCGCTCGATTGGTGGGCCGAGGACTTGAGCGAGCTCGAGATCGATTTGTACAAACGGGTCATCGTGAATATAAAAAACAAAGGGCTCGTGCCGAGTGAGGTGATTGGCGAGGCGTTGAAAGCGTACGCGTACCGGAAGCTTCCGGGCTCGGGCAAGAATGTGGTTTTGCAAGACGATCTCCCGAAATTCCGTTCGATTTTGGAGACTGTGGTGTGGCTTTTGCCTTCTGAAAAAGGTTGCGTCTCGTGTAGCTTTCTTCTGAAGCTTCTGAAAGCTGCCGTCTCGGCGGATTCGGACGAGAGGGTAAAAACAGAACTCGTGAGGAGAATCGGGCAGCAGCTGGAAGAGGCCTCAGTTAATGACCTCTTGATTCGGGCTTGCGAGGGTGCGGAGTTGATTTATGATGTCGAGATTGTCCTGAAGATTCTAGAAGAGTTTGTGACGCAGGATAGGAATTTTGAGATCGAGATAGAAAATGGAAGTGGCGAGATTCAGGAGGTTCGGAGGCCCGGGATCTTGTCCGAAGCTTCAAAGCTGATGGTAGCTAAACTTGTCGATGGCTATCTTACGGAGATCGCAAAGGATCCGAATCTGCCCATTTCTTTGTTTGTTGGGGTCTCGGAGATGGTTTCGGGCTTTTCCCGCCCGGCCCACGATGGCCTGTATCGAGCCATCGATACATATCTCAAGGTAAAACTAAAAGTAGTAACTCTTCTTTTAAAATCTTGCTATGCAATTTTTACTTTAAGTTGCTAAAACCACTAATGATCTTTCAGAATTACACATATGTGATAGAGCTGTTAATAGAACCTCTCATTTTCATGCCATATTCTAAAACCAAGACCATTTCAGAAAAAAAAAAAGACCTGGGATTCTCTCGTAAATACTTCAAACCTCAAGGGTCGTTTTGCAAATTTTCTTTTCTTCCTCAGGAGCATCCGGGGATCAACAAGAGCGAAAGGAAGCGCATTTGCCGACTGATGGATTGCAAGAAGCTCTCGGCTGAAGCATGCATGCACGCAGTCCAAAACGAGCGATTGCCCCTTCGGGTAGTCGTTCAGGTCCTCTTCTTCGAGCAAGTCCGGGCAGCAGCCACCTCGGGCAGTTCGACCCCCGATCTCCCGAAAGCCATTAAAGACCTAAACTGCAGCAACAACTCGCACGGAAGCTCTCGTTCGGCCACGACCAATACAGATGAGGACTGGGGGGATGCGATGGCCTCGGCTGAGGAGCTCCGGGCCCTCAGAGGCGAGCTTGCGGCCTTACGGTTAGGCAATGGGGTTCCGAACGAGAGGGAGATGGGTCGGGCCTCGAGCTCTGACCGGGCTGCGATTGGGAAGGTTAAAGGGCTGATCATGTCGAGGCGGATTTTCTCCAAGATTTGGTCTGGGAAAGGCGGTGGGGCCCACGGAGAGAACAGCGGGTCAGATTCTTCGGAGAGTCTTGGGTCGGGTAATACTACGACTAATACTCACAGCATTCAAGACGAGGGGAAGAGTACGCCGTCGAGGAAAGGGAGGCATTCGGTTTCGTAATTTCAAAGGGAGGTTTTCTCCACTTTTTTTTTTTGTTTTTTGGCTCCTTTAATGAATGAAGATTATAGAAGAAGCATTATAGGCTAGAGGGGAAAGTTGAATTAATGCTGTGTATTATGATGCAGGAAGGAGGGGGACTGATTCGAGTGTGTTTGCTTTATGGGATTAGAGAATGTGAGGACTATCATTAATGTTTGGTGTAAAGATATTTTGTCCATGTTAATGGCATTTGTAGTAACTGTGGGTAAAGAAAGGTAACCCCCAGAATCAGAAGAGGGCTTATTGTTAATTTTTTTGTGAAAATTGGTGTTCTGTTCATATGGTTTCTGTATTGTTAGAATCACATTGAGTGTATTTTGTTCCTGCCAAAGGAGAACTAAAGTATTGTTCAAAATAAAATTACAACTTTCACAAAAGGGGTATATTTGCAAATTGTTCTCTGTCAAAGGAGTACATTTGCAAATTTGGAAAGTATAACCAGTTCCTTTGTGGTTTAGACCAAGCATATGACTTCACATGAAAAAAAAAAAGGCACTCATCTCAGTATGAGTTCCCCTAAGAAACTGCAGCTTCATCTCATATACAACCACATGCACACACAAATGGGGACTGAATGAGAATTGATTAGATGACAACTTTTAGAATATATACATCTGTTTGTACACAGCTGAATTAGTGAGATTAAGGACCATCCCCCGTAATATTAGTAATAGAACACGCAGTGTTACAAAATCGCCAAACGAGAAGCCAAAGAGACTTCATCTTTCTGGTCATATGGATGATTGTTAGCATGCCTCGAGTGTTAAACAGGCAAAATAGAATCAGTTCTTCTACGGGTTCTCTTTTCATTCTGTTCATAAACGGGCGTGTTGTATTATATGTGTCCTCAGACTACTGTCTTTAACCTGTCATAATCGATCGGAAAAAAAAAAAAAAAATGATGCATTGAAAATGAAATGCTGCAGAAAATAAGGAATCGCAAAGGGAGAAAGTTTTATTTACCTGCATGGCTGCTAATGAAGATAGAACATAAGTGCATCCCTCGAGCAAAGCTTGTTCTTTCGTGGTCACTTTTATAAGTTCGCTCGATAAAGAATTTAATTTTTCGACCTGAAATTGCCATAAGTTGTTCAGAAAATGAAATCAGACCTCTCTTTCTGAAAGTTTTTTTCTTTCGCATTTTTTTTCTGCAATACAAAACGATGGTTGGTTCATTTTCTCTCTTTTTTGTAGTAAAATAGAGTGGATCTCAAAGTTTTTTTCTTTCATTTTTTTTTTCTTTTCGCAATTAATCCTCACATTATTTTCATTCTTAATCAAAATCGAGCAATTTAAGGAGATCACCATTGGCAAAAGAAAATATACAGAGGGTGCCATTGTCTGCATTATGTCAAATGCCGAGCCAATTGCATCATGCATGCTTTGGACATTCCCCTGTAGAAAATTTATACGAAATTGAGTTGGCCAAACTATATCATAGATTATTATAGATTTACTTTGTAATTTTGTATAAGTTAAAAGAGAAAGCAAGGCAGGCACATACAATTGCTCCAACAATTGGAAGACAAACAGTACTAGCGGTTAAAGCTTCAATTGCTCCGAGTAAAGAAATCGAGTGCTCTTTATCCAGAGAAGCCCATTCTTCTAAAAAAGTCGTCTAGTAAAAGAAAAATCACTGTTTAGATAATAAAAACAGAGAAATTTTCAAGTGCATTCATGATGAACTGGTTTATGTTTTTTAAGGAAGTGACAATCAGAGCTAACTAAAGCTTACTTCTCTCTTAAGAATGGTGGCTAGCTTCAACTTTTGCCTTAGCAGCTGCAATCTGTGTCGTTTTTTGGTGACTGTGCCTCGTAGATCCGAGATTGTTATCCACGCATTCCATAGATGTTTCTAGAACAATCAGTGAGATTAATGTTATTTTAAACTTTTGAGTAGACAAGAACACAATTGTTTTAGTAACTGTAGAGAACTTGCTCTGTATGAAAAGTAATAGAACTTTTTTAATTTTGTTTAAAACTTTAAACACTCTATCTGGCAAATTTTGTTTATGAAGCATTTGCATTAAATGACGGTACACTCTAAATTCCTCTAGACGATGTTATTCTAAAGGATCAATTGTAAGCATCTAGCAAAATTTGTCGATTACTCTCTCAGCTAAAAGGTGCATTTTATTAAAACCACAACTAAAATCAAACACCCCATTTTATCTTACATGATTCCATCATATCTTCACAGTTCTTAAAGATCACACACCATTTTACCAACATCAATCACAATCATCATTGCAAAAACATTAAGGTGCATCCATATGCTCGAAAAATTAAAAAGAATATTCACCTTTACACTGCGTTGCTGCATGCGCAAGACCCCTTCAGCTCGAGCATTCACGAACCTCCACTGCATGTGCCGATTATACAAAAGCCTCAACAAATGTGCATCTAATACTCCATTTTCCCCGATTTTCCCTCTCCTAACATCCACAGCATAGCTAAGAACCGAAGGCATCTCACCAAAACGAGACGGGCTTGGGCTTTTCCCCCTCGGCTGAGAAACCATAATCTTGCTAGGCGATTGAGGCCTAGTACTGTTTCCACGAACAGGAGACAATAACGGGCCATTACTCATAAATTTTTTCGACTTAGCTGGCACAATCAGTTTTGGGCCAGGACTACTATCCTGCAGCCTCCTAAGTCGACTATTAGTCTCCTGCCAGAATCGGGCCGAGGCAGCAATGCTTAGAGGCCCATTCGACCTATGGACTCTGCAACTCCCTCGAACACCCGAAGTACTGTCTGAAGACATGCTGTCCGAATCAGAGGTTGTAGTAATATCATAAGGATGCATCAATAGTTCATTTTTTACCAAATTCCTATCATGGGCTCGTTCGACTGAATCAAGACTCAACCTGCCACTGCACGAAAGCCTTCTCTCATTAAAGGGCCCGATTAGCTTACTGGAACTTCTCGATAGGTGATTTGCAGCCCGGTTCCTGCTTGGCCACAGGTGGTGATCGGCAGACTTCGGGTTTTTTTCGAGCTGATCCCCTGAACTCTCAGGCTTACCTTCTGGCAAAGGATTAACAACAGTTCTTCTCCTTTCAGGTGTTCCTTTTCTCATACTTGTTGGATTAGGGGTAGAATGGGAAACTTTAGTTTTGCTAACAGGCAAAGAAAATGATTCACCTTGAAAGGAAACTGATAGGCTCCTGGTGGAAGTGACGAGCAGCTTAGAGGCGGCTGAGATAACGGCGGCGCTGCCGCTTCTGGAATCTAGATCCGCCGTCAAAGGCGTCACCGCAGCCGGCCGCCGCCTGTCTACAGAAACAGACCTCTTGGGGGTCAGAGAAGGCGAATTTCTCGAGCTCCTAGAGACCGACGGCGATGGGAACCTTCTAGAAGTGGCGACAGAGGATGAATTTGGAGTGGAGGTGGAAGGCGACATGTACCGAGAGGACACGGTTTTTGATTTGGGCTTTCTGGGGTTGCTCGGGGAGGACCCATTGCCGTTATCCTTCTCGGATGGCAGAAACGGCAGCCTCGCGTCGGCGGCGGAGGGGGTTTTGGGGTTTTGCGGGTCGGGCGTTGAAGCTGCACCTCCGGTAACGGCAGCCACCATTATCGACAATCTAAAAGCTCCAGAAGAAGGGTTTGCGAGAACCCACCACTCACATCTTGATCTTCGAGGAACAAACAGACTTACTACCACCCATCAGAATCCCCCCTTTGAACACGACATTGTTGAACCTGCAAGAGAGATCACGAGACCCTACTGTAGCTCAAAAAACCGTAATGGGCCTTCGAAATGTTCCACATTTCATCTATTTCTGAGGGTCAAGTTGCAAGCTTTGCAGCACAGCCAATTTGGGTGAGCAAATTTGGAGAGAAATTGGAATTTCAGGCAAGAATTTAGAGAGAGAAGGAGAGAGGTGAGGTTGGGGCAGTGGAGTTATGGGTACATTCCTCTTTGGGTGGATTTTCTAATTTAGAGAATGTTAAGCAAAAAGTGTCCATAATTAATTAATCAAGAATTATGTTTTAATAATGTTTAGTTCATTGATGATGACATTTAAATGTTATGTTGGTGAAGAAAATGTTCTTTAAAACTGGAAAATTTTGTACATTATTTCTCATTGGATCAATATAAATTTGGGAAATGCTAGAGTCCTATTACGGAACAATTCTGTCGGAAATTTTAATTGTTCGATCATCATTTAACCATCGTGAATAGTTGGTCTAATGGTCTGATGGAGTAATTCTATAATAGGACTGTAAAATCTCGATATAAATTCTTGTACACATGTGATTTAAAGGTTAAAAAGAAGCTAACGGTCAAGAATCCATTTTACCCTTAAACTGAGGATTATAACATTTTATGGGGGTTTTCATTCCAATAATTTTATTTTTTTTTTTAAAAAATACATTAGTAAATTATTTTATAGTTTTATTGTTTTATTTAATATATTTTTTTAAATTAAAACTCGAATATTGCTGAAAAAATATCACGTTGATAATTTATTATTTGTTTATTCATATATCCACGACTACAATTTGTCATTTTAGTGAGTGAGACAGGATAAAATAAAAGGAGTAGATATGTTTTTGTTACCCTCAATTTATCGAAATATATTATTTATTAGAGCATTGAATTAAATGCCAAAGTACATAATATGAATAATGGTAGAAAGATCATAATCACTATCCTAAGTATATTAAGGGAGATGCTACGGGAACATTACGGATCATTCCGTCAGAGTTTGCAACCGTTACATCAACTATTCTCGACGGTTACATGATGATCTAACTCGACGGAATGGTTCCGTGACGGGAACTGTAGCATTTTCCCTAATTTAAACCTATATTAATTAGATTTTGCATTATATTTGACCCAATTCAAAACAAAATCACTTTTTAAGGACGATCTAGAACTAGATATTTATTGCAGATTAGGTAAATAGGTGACCTATTAAGTATTAAATATTAACTACTTATTGCATCAAATGTATAGGAATTGTTGAGAGAAAACTATAATCTAGAATTAGTTGTAAAAAGATATTTCTTGCTGGCATAATTGCTTTTCTTCAGAAAAGAAACACATTACACATGGTTCATTTAAAAGAAAAAAAGAATTGTTAAAACTCTATTTATCGAGATTAATAAACTTTAACGAACTTGGTTCGTTAACTAAACGAGCTCTAGCTCGAAATAAACAAGTCGAACCAAACATAAATCATGAGCAACTTGTTTCGTTTAACACCTCTAACAAATTTTTATAAATCATGAGCAACTTGTTTCGTTTAACACCTCTAACAAATTTTTGTTTCTGTTATAGTACTAAATAAAAATACACCGATACAAAAATATACAATAACCACCAAGTGTACCACATGTGTTTGTTATAAACAAATATATGTATTTTGAAACAAGTTATTAAAACTAAACAATATGATAAGAAGGAAGAAAAACTTTTTACCTAAGAAAAATATGAGGTGTGTGATTCTATTCTCGTGGGTCATCTCTAACTTATCTTAACTTGCTTGGACTAAAAAACTATATTGTTGTTGTTGTTGTTGTTGTGATTTCATGGGATTATGATGAGAATGGAATTGCAAGTGTAGTGTAGTACTTTTCTACATAAATATAAAGAAGGGAGATTGTAAATTATATGAATTTATTGTGCCCTTAAAACAAGGTAAATTAATTGCATTATAAGAAAGTTTCAAGTTAAGCTAACAACACTTTCTCTTATTTTTATTGTGTTTTTTTATAGGATGCACAGTCACCCTCAATCTTTATCCATTTTATCTTTTCTCTGCCTTTGCTTATCACGCATGGATATTTTTGTTCTTTTTTTTTTCAATACATTTATTTTTATGTAATTATATTTTATTATTGAAATTATTTGCTTGTGAATTTTAATAAAATGTCGACATTAGACCGAGTTGTAAAGTTCCAATAGACAAGTCAAACTGCTAATTTCTTTTATCATTTGTGGTGACACTTTATTTTTATTATTAGCGACGGATTTAGAAATTTCACTGAGAGGGGCGTTGTGACATAAAATTTAGCACAGTAACTCAAAATGCATGATGTTATGAATATTTTTACCGGAACAGAATCGAAAGATTCAATTCCCGAGTCGTATCAAAAGGAAGGTTACCCGGATTAAATTGTACGAATATTCAATCATAATAGAATAAAAACAAATCCTAAACATTCTAATTCATAGATTGTTTTTTGTTTCAGTTAATTACTTACAATTCTCAAACAAGCAAACGAGTTTCAATTCTGATGTAGAACGTGATACGAAAGGGAAAGAACACGAGATACTCTCTCGATAGGAATACGATAAACTGTTTTCAGAATTCAATAATCTGCTCAATCCCTAGCAACATCTGTTATTTAATACTAAGAGTCCTATTCTAAAGAGGTATCTTGCCTAACATGGTGCAAGATATTTTATTTAGATAACCATCATAATTAGTAAAATATTAAAATAGGTAATACGAATAATCGAGCTACACTCGAAGCCTGTCAAATTTGTCCAGAAAAGCAATCGCGGTCTCGACTCCATCATCCTCCCCCGGTTGGGAAGGATTCGGCCTCGAATCCGACTCGGTCTCGTCTCCATCCGAGTTGTCGCCTAAAAAAGGGACCAAGTGTTTGACGTTAAAAACGTCAGACGTACGCACATGCGAGGGAAGACGAAGACGATAGGCGTTGGGGTTTATTTTCTCAACCACCTCAACCGGCCCAATTTTCCGAGCAGAAAGCTTATTGTACTCGTGGGCCGTAAATCGATCCTTCGTCAACACGGCCCAAACAAAATCGCCGACCTCAAATTCAACATTACGCCGGCGAGTGTCCGCCCGAGCCTTGTATTCAGCCGTCGTAGTCTCCAAACGGGCCCGAGCAGCCGCATGGGTCGCCCGTAAGTCCGCGACCAGGTCCGCAGCGCGTCGCTCAATGCCCACCGGCGATGGCAGCAACAATAAATCTGCCGGGCCCCTCGGCTGAACGACATAGACAACCTGAAATGGGGGAAATCCAGTGGCTCGGCTCAAAGCCGAGTTATGCGCGAACTCGGCCTGACTAAGGCGTTGGTCCCAACTGCGAAGGTTATCGCCCACTAAGCAACGGAGTAAATTGCCCAAAGACCGGTTCACAACCTCCGTTTGTCCGTCCGTCTGAGGATGATAAGCACTGCTAAAATCCAGACGCGTGTTTGCCAAACGCCACAAACTACGCCAGAAATGGCTAAGGAAACGAGTATCACGGTCCGAGACAATCGAAGACGGAAGACCATGTAAGCGATAAATCTCGCGAAAGAACAAGAGAGCCACATGGAGGGCATCGGTGGTGCGCTTGCATGGAACGAAGTGAACCATCTTCGAGAAACGATCGACGATCACAAATATGGAGTCAAATCCACGTTGTGTACGTGGCAAGCCAAGAACGAAATCCATACTCACCGCGCTCCACGGACGGTCGGGAATAGGAAGCGGTCGATATAGCCCG